TTGCCCACAAAATGTACAGTCAATTCACTTTACGGTATATTCTGTGAAGCGCTTTGAGACAACTCGAAGACGTGATAAGGCACTATATCAAATGCAAGGATCACCATTTTATTATAATCAAGCTTAAAAGAGGAGCAGATATGAATTCTGTTATACCCCCAAAAAATACTTTAGCCCCTGCGCTATCGGGGGGAAATGCACACTGTTACTTATTGGAGTAACATAGAAGAGGAACTTTCACTATCAGGAACCTGTTATAAAATAATAGTGCTCGGTAACGGTGAAAAAGGCTAACCAGATGCTGGGTTGTATTAAAAGGGTAATATTGAGTCGAGACAGTAAGGTAATCCTGCCACTTTATAAATCACTGGTACAACCACACTTGGAATACTGTGTACAGTATTTATTAACTTCAAGGCCCTCCACAGTCTTGCTGTACGACCTCATAACCCGATATCAGCCTGTCTATTCCCTCTGTTAGGCAGACAACGACCTGCCCCGAGATTCAGCATCTCTGCCCCCACACTATGGAACTCTATCGCGCAATCCCTCTGTCTCACCCCCTCTCTTGCCTCCTTCAAGTACTATCTGAAGACCTCTTCAATAGTGCCTTCGGCCAACACCCTCCTCCCCTTCGGACCCCAACTCCCAGCTTGGAGACATCTTTCCGGCATGAAGTGTGCTATCGAAGTGTCATTTGTTGTTGCAGTTCTGGTCACCGCAAACTAAAAAGGGAATCATAGAATTATACAGCACAGAAGGAGGCCATTTGGCCCATTGTGTCTGTGCCGGTTCTTTGAAAAGAGCTGATCAACTCAATCCCACTCCCCTGCTCTCTCCCCATAGCCCTGCAAACTTGTCCTCCCCAAATAATTATCCGAACAACTCGCTGTGTGGAAATATTTCTCCTCATCTCCCCTCTGTTTCTTTTAACAACTATTTTAAATCGATGTTCTCGGGTTACCAACCCACCCGCCAGTGGAAATAGTTTTCTCCTTGTTCGCCCTATCAAATCCCTTCATAATTTTGAAAAATTCTGTCAAGTCACTTCTTAATCTTCTCTGCTCCAAAGAGAATAATCCCAGCTTCTCTAGCCTCTCCTGATAATTGAAGTCCCTCATTCTTGGTACCATCCTGGTAAATCTTCTTTGCACCCTCTCGAATGCCTTGACATCCTTCCTAAAGTGTGGTGCCCAGAACTGAACACAGTACTCTAACTGAGGCCTAACTGGTGTTTTACAAAGGTTCATTATAACTTCCTGACTTTTGTATTCTATACTACTATTTATAAAGTCTAGTATCCTGTATGCTTTTTTAAAAGCTTTATCTTTATAATTCAAGATCCTCATCCTCACCTGCAAGGCCATTCACGGCCTTGCTCCCTCCTACCTCTCTGACCTACTATCTCCCTACCTACTTGCCCGTACCCTCCGTTCCTCTGGCTCCGGTCTGCTCCACATCCCCCGCCCCAACCGCCCTACCATCGATGGCGGGGCCTTCAGTCTCTCAGCCCCTAGGCCCTGGAACTCAATCCCCCAGTGCCTTCGCCGCCTCCTCCCTTTCCTCCTTCAAGGTCGGTCTCAAGACCTTTCTCTTTGACAGTGCCTTCAGCTTCCCTCTCGACTCTCTACCCCCTCCTCGCTCCCTCCCTTCCCTCCCCTCACCCTGACTATTTCCCCCCTGCTCGGGTCCTGACCCAACTGTCCAGTGCCTTGGGACGTCCTCCCGACGTGAAAGGCGCTCTATAAATGGAATCTTCTTGTTGTTGTTGTTGTTGTTGTTGTACCTGACCTGCCACCTTCAAGGATGTCCTTATATGAACCCCCAGGTCTCCCTGTTCGATCATCCCCTTTAAGCTTATATAGCCTCTCCTCATTCTTCCTCCCAAAATGTATCACTTTCCATTTCTCTACATTAAACTTCATCTGCCATGTGTCTACCCATTTTACCAGTCTGTCTATGTCCTCTTGCAGTCTGCTACTATCCTCCTCACTGTTTACTGCTTTCCCTCACTTAGTATCATCTGCAAACTTGGAAATTATACTCCCTATACCCAAGTCCAGTTCATTTACATAGATCAAAAACAGCAGTGATCCCAATACCAACCCCTGGGGTCACCACTACACACTTCCAGTCAGAAAAACAACCATTCACCACCACTCTCTGCTTCCTGTCTGCCGGCCAGTCCTGTATCCGCTGCCACTGTCCCTTTAATACTGTGGGTTTCTGTTTTGCTTGCAAGTCTCTTATGTGGCATTTTATCAAACGCCTTTTGAAAATCCATATAAACTACATCAATTGCACTACCTTCATCCAACCTCTCCGTTACTTCATCAAAAATATTGCAGCAATCGAGAGGATACAGAGGAGGGCAAACAACATGATTGAAGAGTTAGAGGGACTAGACTACAAGGGGCGCTGGAGAAGAGAAGGTTGAGGGATGATATGATTGCGGTCTTTAAGCTTCTGAATGGACTAGGTAATGTAGACCATGACAAGCAGTTTAATCTTGTAAATATATGGAACAGGCTTCCTAGGGAGATAGTGGAAGCAGAAAACAGATTCCCTAGGGAGATGGTGGAAGCATTTGTTTCAAGAACAAATGAGATCGATTTCTGTTAGGAAATAATATCTCGGGATACAGTATATAGTTTGAGACACAACATGACAAGCAACTTCCAGGATGGTGTACCATCTTCCACCTAGCAAATTCTTCTTTCACCTAGCAAATTCTTATATTCTAATAGTCATAGCATATAGTGGTAATTCCAGCATTTCTTTCATCCCAATTATTTGAGGTCAAATGTGGTATTTCTTAACTGGATTTTTTAATGAGGAATCCTTGCAATGCAAAGATGGATTTTTGCTTTCCTATCATGAAAGTGCCAGGTGGTTGTAGCCTGCTTAGCTAAGACACCCTGAGTTTGCCAAATTATGGATAAGCTGAACGTGCGTACCCACCCACGCACACACAGACTAATTTAAAAATTATTTCACGAACGGGTAAACATGGTGGAAGCCAGCCAGTAGGCAAATCTTGCATTCTCGATGATGACAGAGATTAAAAATGACAGGTCTTACAGAGGAACCCACATGCTGTTCATCTGCATTTAAATTCTGCAAACAGAATTATCCAGGATGAGAAAGTATTTGAGTGTTATTGAAATCTGATGAGCTCCAGGACATTTGATCTGGAGCTCATTCGGCTGTAACATAGTTCTAAATGCTCAGGTAGGTAGGAAGATTTTCTAATAATAATAATCGTTGCATTTGATATAGCGCTTGTCACGTCTTCTAGACGTCTCAAAGCAGTTCACAGAATATATTGTAAAGTGAATTGACTACATTTGTGGGCAAAACGGGCAGCCAATTGCGCACAGCAGTGTCTCTCAAACAGTCATGGATTGAAGTGACCAATTTTATTATTGTTTTCTTTTCTTGAGGGATTATTATCAGGCGTGTGGAGTAAGAAAACATGCCCAAGGTTTCGCTCTGCCAGGAATCGAACGCAGGTCTCTCAGTTGCGAGGCGAATGCTCTAAACACTAAGCAAGAGGACTCCCTGTAACTGGTGTGGCTGGAGTGCTGTGATTTGATGAAGTGAATACAGAATGATCAAGTGAATGATCGGAGAGAGGATAATATGCCTGTTGGCTTTTCTTGCTGTTTTTTGTGAATTTTTTTGTTAAAGCGGAAAATGTAATCAGAAAACCTTTCTTCACACAGAAGGTTGTGAGAGAATATAGAATATACAGTCCCAGAAAGGAGTTAGATGCAGGATTGATTGATTGGGATGTTTAAAGAGAGCTAGATTAATACAAGAAAACTTTAAGAATATTAAGAGGAAAAATGGGATTAAAAGATCTGGCATGTTTTAATAGAATTGTAGGAATGGCTTGACGGAATTGATATGTTGGGAAATTGTGCTTTGAAGGGTCATTTTATCTCTGCCCAAAGACTTGATCTTGATCAGGAAATAAAAAATTTTGGACCAGGAAAGAGTGAATTTCACCATCTTCAGAAGGTTGATCTCAAAAAGCAACTATTAAGCAAAACAAAAACACGTTCTCTATGGATCAAAACAAAACTCGTTGGCAGTGGGGGCGGGGGAGAAATACAGTCACTTAGTGTCAGCATGTCATAACATTGATCTCACAGTATAGGCATTTGAAATGACTTCCATATCAAAGTGCAGTGACTGCATCTAAAAGGTGAACACTGCAGCCAACTTGCCACCAGCAATATCCCATAACCTGCCATGATGTGCAGGGCTAATTTTATCTGAGGATTGTCAGCCAGGACACAAGGATAAATTGCCTTCTTTCTCCAAATAGTGCCATGGGATGTTTAACAGAGAGATGGGAATTTTGTTTTAACATCTCATCTCATCCACTTCTAACATTGCAACACACCCCCTGCACCGCACTAGAGTGTCAGCCTAGAGTTCAAAGTCCTGCAACCTTCTGACTCGGAGGAAAGAGTGCTACCAACTGAGCCAGACTGATGTACAAACTTGGCAAATGTCAGGGTAATTAACAACATAAAGTTATCACACTACAGCACAGCACAGAAAATTATTGTATCTTTGGGATTATTTCAGTCTGCACCCCTCCGCTAATGCTTCCAATACTGTTTCAACCACATTCATTTTTTAATACAATGTCTTCTGTAATCTTTTCCTCCTCCAGCATCTGTCACTCTGGAAAGGGAGGAGGAATTTCATCAAATGGTTGTTGAAGCCCAAGTCCATAGCAGGATTTGAATTAGTTCTATCACCAGCACAGATGTAAGGAGAAAAAAAATATGCCAAATCCCCTTATTCTGTGCTATAAAATTTTGCGATTTTCTTTTTTTCTATGATCAATTCCCCAACACCACTTTCGGCCACTGAAAGTTAAAATCAGTGAAATCAACTATATTTAGCACTCAATGATTAAAAAAAGGTTTCCTTTAAAATTGGCATTCTGTTAATTAATCTGCCTATTTTGAAATGTTTTCCAGGAATCGTCATCATGATGGCACTGTGTGATAGCATAAATATCTACGAGTACATCCCTTCCATCCGACAGACTGATCTCTGCCATTACCATGAACGATACTACGACTCTGCCTGTACCTTGGGTGCTTACCATCCGTTGTTATATGAAAAACTCCTGGTGCAACGGATGAACAAGGGGACAGAGGCAGATTTGTATTCAAAAGGAAGAGTTTCCCTGCCAGGTTTTCATTCCATAAAATGCGCTGGCGAAAAATGAGGGTCATTACTGCCGAATAAATAGTACCCAATTAGCAGAACAGAATAAGGTGAAACTTCAGTGATTCATAATGCATTCCTTGAATGTCTTAAACTGCTTCATAGAAATGGGATGGGTGCTCGAGCAGGGTGGGATATTGTGGGAATTGGGGTGAGGTGGCCACAGAGATCGTTTTTTTAAAGACTGGTTTTGGAAGTAGAAAACAAAAGTGTGATGAGGAGGAACCCATTATGAAATGCTAGCATTTTCTTCTCGTTCTGTAATTATTGCCAGGCTGCATTCACATTACATTAGAGTTGCTCGCTGACATTGTAGATGGATTCCATGATTTTTAACCAGTAAATCTCAGGACTAGTCCACATATCAGCAGATTGAACCTGAGGGTTAAAAATTAAGATGAGTCACAATGTTGTGCAGCAGTGATACTCTAAGTGAAGTACAGTCTGGCAAAGATCAAGGAACGGGAAGGAATTTGCAGTGTTTCAAAATGCATTCCTTGGCACATCACAAAGAACATGTTATAAAATGTTTCATTTTTCACCTCTATATGACTGACGCACTAAAACATGTCGACTGCTTGAAATGAATAGTTAGGACCACTTTCAGGATACCACTGTGTCAAAGAGCAATTGAGAAAACAAAATATTCCTCCATCATATTCCACCTTTAGTATTTTACACTGGTTTACTGTAACATACACATGGAACAAACACTTACTGAATGGACCACGTCTGAGTTTAAATCGTATTCCAGGTAAAATTGTTAGGGTTTAACCTTTACTTTTCAGTTAACTCGCCATTCTTGACTGGGCAGTCAGTGTGCTCTTACAATACAATACAATTTATATGTACAGTAGAACTCATAAAAGTTGTATCAGTTGGGACCATAAACATTTAATATAACTGATGCAAACTATGCAAAGTTATGGCAAACATGCATAAAGTCATCATATATGACTTATGTAAAGTTGTGTATAAGTACTGGCTGGTGCCATTAAAGCAAGGTTTAACCCAATCATATTAAAGCTATGGTAACCCATTCTATCCATATTACAGTACTGCAAGTATATGTTTTCTGTACCTCGTGCAGAAAACACGTACGGTACAATGAATGGCACAACCAAACAGGTTTCAAAATAGAACTGTTTTGATAGAATATAAACTTAATACTTGGTGTATCTGCATTCACTGATGCTATGATGGCTGGTCAAAACGTTGTCTTTCGTACTTACTCACTCTTCTGTAACTGCGTATGCGGTCCTTCGGCTTTGCAGACAGTAAGTGCACATGCGGTGATGGGTCGGGACTTAGTTTACTGCGATTGTTTCACATGGAGCACTGCGTCTGCTACATCAAGGCCGGTAAGTGCATGTGCAGTGAAGGGTCCCCTTCGCTCTCAATGTGATCAGGATTTCCCTCCCCCTTCGCTCCTCTCTCAGACCTCCCACCTACCATGTGTGATGACGTTGATGTTACGCCCCTGGAAGGGAGTTTGTGGTGAGCGTTGGGGTACACTTATACCCTGTTTCTGTTTGAGGCAGGCTCAGGAAATGAAGTTTTGACACGGCAGCCGGCAAGTATAGTACCGATGTTATGTGGTGGTCAATACAACTAATGCACATAAATTTAAATGAATTTAATAGGAAATTAAACATCACTCAGGTGGATGTACGACTTAGGCGACTGTACGATTTATACAGATACGATGTATGTAAACTGTATATAGTGACTTTCACGTCGGAAGGACGTTCCTAATATCAGAAAATTAATTGATAAGCAGAGAATATGCTCTTAATCAATAAATTTAGTCGAGCATTAGTGTCCCTCTCTCCCTAACAAATACAACAACATGTTATAGGACAGTAAGAGATGTAAGTTTTGAAATTTACTGCATGTTTCATATTTGGAAAAAAATGTTTTCACTAAAATATTTACTGAAACACTTTTGTAATTTAAGAAATGAGCTGCAATTGTGAAAGAGGTCACCTAACTTCTTCCAAATTGCCGTATTATGACTTTTCATCAATATATTGCCTTTGAAAAAGCAGATAATACAAATGATATTGAGTTAAATAATAAAAATGTCATTGTGTTTCACAGAAAAATATTTATACTTGAAATGTCACATTTCAACAAATAGCAAGATAGTAGAGCATATATATTAGCAATTTTAACTGGCAAAAGTAATATTTCCAAACATATTAGGCCTTTAAGTGTGCCAAAATGTTACTTTTACATTCTGATCTCACTAACTTGTATTCTGAATGTAATGACTTGTATTCTCATCTCATTGACTTGAATTCTAACTTCAATGGCCATCAATGTATGTAAATCTTTTGTGGGTCTCACATAACTCAGTCGGAATTGAGCCAGCCCTCTGTGGCGGTCTCTACCTCTGCGACCTCCTAACACCCTGCCAACCCACCCGTTCCCTCCGCTCAGCCGGCTCTGGCCTGCTTCACGTCCCCCGACCCACCCACCCCACCATTGGCGGGAGAGCCTTCAGCCACTCTGCCCCCAACCTCTGGAATTCCATCCCTCAATCACTCCGCCTCACCCCTTCCTTAGCCTCCTTCAAGTCCCGCCTCAAGACCCTCCTCTTCGACCATGCCATCGGCCACGCCCCCTCCCCTCCCTTACCCACCCCCAACCCCAGCTTGGGTCTGAAATGCTGTACTCTGTCCAGCGCCTTGGGACGTCCTCCCGACGTGAAAGGCGCTATACAAATCTAATCTTCTTGTCGGCAAACTATGTGATTTTAACTGGTTAGACTCTAGCAGTACCCCAACGCACACTCTGGGGACCCCAACCTTCGCTGAATAGTTTACGGAATTAGATAAGCAGGATGCGTCACTCCAGAGAGAGAGTGTGCATTCCATTCCAAAATCTATCTCTGGGATTTCCATGTGTAGATGGGATGCATAAAAATCTCAGCTTGTTTGGCTACTCTTAAGCATGGTGATGGGTTTCCACATGTGTTACACCCAGCTGACCAAAAAAAAGTTATTCATATTCTTACATCCTAGAAAAATAACATAACTGCACATTTAAGTTGTAATGGTTCTATTTCTATGTATCCATTTTTGATTTTAAGTTATAATGTGTGAAAATTATCTCAAAGTCTATTTTCTGTCCTTTTTTCAAATAATGTAAAGTTTCAAGATAAATCTTTCACATCATCTCTGCACCCATTATAAAGACCCCTTGTTAGCTTTGAGTAACACTGTCCGCAAAGGTCTATTTCTTATTTTAGATATGCAAAACTCTTTTCTGTATAATCAGTCCTTGTATTGTGATAGAAGTTAAAATTGGACAATTTGTAGAACACAAAATAAACAGTTTACAATCAAATAGGGTGTAAGTAAAAAAAAACATATGTGTTATAGACAAACTTTCAGACATTGAGCCTTAGAGTGGGTGATCTGATTGTAAGATATCTTAGTGATTTAAAATAATGGAAAAAGATCTTTTTGTATTGCAGTTTAATGCATAAATTACTTCTCAGATGCCACATTTTAATTGCTGGGATTCTGTATAGTGCAAAGAAATATAGTAATCACAATTTAAACAAAGAAAATATTACAAAGTCTGTGACATCATTAAGCTCGGGAATATTAATTATTTTTAAAATTGGAATATAAATCTTTCAAATCGCCTTCCATGAAAATGTCCTTTTTTAAGATCTTGTGTGGGTGAATGTATCGTGCAGATTTTACTTTAAATATCTCCATTGCAGTGCTGGGGGAGTGCTGCATTGTTGGAGCTACTGTCTTTTGGATGAGACATTAAACCATTGTCTTGTCTGCCTGTTCAGGTGACAATATTTGAAAAGAGAATGGAGTTTCTCCCTTATATCAAATTGGCTACTGTGTTCACTTACAAATACAGTTACTACACTTATAGTGAATCCTGTAAAGCTCTTTGAGGCTGGTTCAATGACATGATTAGCCTTACAGCAGCAATTAAAATCTGAAGTTCGAGTCTCTGGCGTACAAAGTATGCATAGAATGATGTGCAAATGTTCATAATTAATATGTGATATTTAGATTTTTTATTTGACAATGTATAGATTGTTTTCAAAAACCTATCATACAGCTTTCTGTACAAAAATTGTGGCAAGGCTGATTGTGGGATTAGATTCTGTGGGTTGAAGAGTTGATAATCTCAATATACTGTATTCTTAAACCACACAAAGACTCGATAGGCAGTGACACGCAATTTAACAGCAACATGTACTTTGTTCGGTTTTAAGTAACATTGCCTATTCTCTATTTTATTTATATATAGCATACACCAGGCACTGCATTTCCTGAGATGTCATTCTTCAGACGAGGTGTTAAATTGATGTTCCATCTGACTGTTCAGGTGGATTTTAAATAGTGAGTGATAGTACTTGAAAAGAGAAGGGAGTTTCTTATGGTGACAATTCTTCTGGCCAAAGCAATTTTTTTCTCCTTCATTCATGTGACAACTTTTGAGGAACTTTACTGTCCATAACATATGATAATTATATTTATAGTGTTACTATATTTGACAAATTTCCTGTGAAGTGTTTAGTGGGATTTTATGCTATATCAAATGCAAGAATTCTTTTTTTTAATCCCATGTATGTCCTATTATTCACTTCTCCAATTGATCTTTTTCTGACTTTTTCTGACTTGGGAGCTTTCAATTCGAGTTCAAATATTTCAACTATTGAAATATAGTTCAAATGCAGACAATTCTCTATAAATGTAACTTTTCATACTTTTACATTTTGTTTTTTATATGTTTTGCATGTACATAATGTATAGAATTTGTTGTAAATAAATATTTCTATCTACACTTTGATCTGACTTGATCCCTCTGTCCTGAACTTTCTATGAAAGGCTCATCCATTGAACCTTTAAATTCTATACTCCAGTGCAGTGCTGGGGATGTGGTGCATCTGGCTTGAAATCAGGGCACACACATGAGCCTTGTTTTTTGGCTAATCATAACTGAACTCCACTAGAAAACAAACTGCCACCCAACTAACATTCATATCAATGAACACACAAGTTGGGTAATAATATCAGGAAACTCCTCATGAAATGTTATCATTCACACTGCAGTACTGTGTGCAACAACAAAAACAAGATTACATTTGTATAGCGCCTTTCACGTCGAGAGGACGTCCCAAGGCGCTGGACAGAGCACAACATTTTAGACCCGAGCTGGGGTTGGGGCGGTAAGGGAGGGGAGGGGAGGGGAAGGGGTGGGGGGTGATGGCATGGTTGAAGAGGAGGGTCTTGAGGCGGGACTCGAAGGAGACTAAGGAGGGGGTGAGGCGGAGTGACTGGGGGATGGAATTCCAGAGATTGGGGACGGAGTGGCTGAAGGCTATCCCGCCAATGGTGGGGCGGGTGGGGCGGGGGACGTGGAGCAGGCCAGAGCTGGTTTAGCGGAGGGAACGGGTGGGTTGGTAGGGTGTTAGGAGGTCGCAGAGGTAGGGTGGGGCGAGGCCATGGAGGGCTTTGTAGGTGAGGACCAGGATCTTGAACTGGATCCTCTGAAGGATAGGGAGCCAGTGGAGTTGGGCGAGAGTCGGGGAGATGGGGTCACGGAGTTTGGTGCAGGAGAGGATACGGGCTGCAGAGTTCTGAATTATCTGTAGCCTGTGGAGGAAGGAATTGGGAAGGCCGACAAGCAGGGCATTTGCGTAGTCGAGCCTGGAGGTGATGAAGGCATGAACAAGAGTTTCAGCGGCCTGAGGGGTGCAGTTTATCAATTTCACAAAGAGGGGAAAGCCAAGCTCTCAAATGGTTGAAAGACATGCAGCTGTTCCTGGTGCCTGCACCTCAACACATGCCAAGTATGCTTCAAATGAATACCCTAAAGCACCTTTTTTTTTAAAAGTTATTGGTATCGGCAATTCAACTTGGCAGACAGAACATTAACATTTTGAATGGGGCTTCTCCTTGGGAGTCAGTCAGTCACTTTTATCTTCAAAGGCACAGAAGGAGACCTGTGGTTTTCCTTTCCAAGGATTTGATCAACCCACTAGGGGTATCCATGTCTCATCAAGTTCAGCACATCTGATTGTTCAAAAATATTTTTGAAAATAAATGGGACAGACTTGTTGTCTGCTATTTGCCTTATATTGTTCCTTTTCCCCATAGATACAAATGGTTGCATCAACCCTTACTATTAAATTGTTTGGTGTCATCCATAATTCCATCCACACTTTGACATGGCAACATGGGGTATATAAACCAGATTGTTTATTCCTGTGCCTCACAGCCTCAGTTAATCAAAACTGAATAATATTCACATTTGATACAGAGCCTTATAACATTGAAATGTCTTACAGCACTTTTCAGAATAAGTTACTTTGGACTAATGTCATTGTGGTTGCTTTAATTTGAAGTGTTTTTAGTGTTTATTATTCTGCTTAACATCTCGCAACCAAAACCCTAATGAATGTCAATCCCAATGTCTCTTAAATCCCAACACAATCATCTGCTTTAGAAATGATTAAGGGGCAGCCCTGATGGTAGAATGGATAGAGCTGCAGCTTACAGACCAGGAGCTCTCTGGTTTGAATCCAAGTTCCACACCGAGTTTGCTGAGTTCAGCCAGGGCTGCACAGGGAGGATACATTGATCTCATCCTTCCCAGAGTTTGGAGGAACAAAAAAACAGCCAGAGTCTATAGCATCCTCTACTGGTTGGGTGTGTGTATGGCAGTTGAGCTTGGCGTAGCTGTGACATCCTCAATAACAAAGTTCCTGCCAGCATTCACTGCCAAAGTTTACATTTAGGCACATAGAAATAGGCCATTTGGCTTACAGAGCCTGCTCTGTCATCTCCCTGGATCATGGCTGATCTATAACTCAACTCAATACCATTTGCCTGCCTTTTCACCATGCCCCTTGATATCCTTACAAGCTGAGTATTTATCTACTTTCCTCTTAAACATTCCCACCGACTTGGCATCAACAGTCCTTCAAGGAAGTTAATTCCACTATTTCACAACTCTCTGAGTAAATAAATGTCTTCTGATTTCACTTATACAGGATTAGCTCTATGGTTTAGAAGATACCCTCTTATTCAAAATTATGCAACTATTTGAAGAAAAAGTCTCTCCTTACCCACTCTGCCAATTCCTTTTGATGTCTTAAACATAAACAATGAACATTGGCCACTTGGATGGGGTAATGGATGTCAACCTGGACCCGTGGAACCACGCCCCAACCGCAGACAAAACCAGGAGCAGAGAGGCCTATTCAAGTGGGGAAAAAATTAGAAAAATAATTGTACGTACTAAATTTTTGTTAAAAAGTATATAATAATAATAATAATCCTTGCATTTGATATAGCGCTTTTCACGTCGGGAGGACGTCCTAGAGCGCTTCACAGAACACACTGTAAAGTGAATTGACTGTATATTTGTGGGCGAATGCGGCAGCCCATTGCGCACAGCAATGTCCCACAAACAGTTGTAGATCGAAAATGACCAATTTATTATTGTTTTTGGTTTTGGAGGGATTATTATTAGGCGTGTGGAGTAAGGAAACTTGCCCAAGGTTTCGCCCTGCCTGGAATTGAACTCAGGTCTCTCGCTTGCAAAGCGAGTGCTCTAACCACTGAGCTACAGGACTACAGGACATCCTCGCGTTCTTTAACACTATGCTTCTGAGGCTGGCAGCCTTGAATTTATATGCTCCTCAAAAGTTATTTGAATTACTGTTTCAGTGGTAATCGAACAAAAGAGAAAAAAAAAGTTTAATCAGCAAGAAGTAGGAACTACTAGCAAGCATCAGTAGCCGCAGGCACAAAAACAAGTTGTGTTGGATTGATTTGAGGGGCCTTCAGTGATCTGTTTGAATCTAAACTCAAACTGGCTTCTTTCCCCTTTCATCTGCATTGCTTTATGTCTCCTCAGGTTCTGCGTGCAATTCTGCATAACAAGATTCACAACAGGTTACTGCAGCTCGGCCTAAGACTGATCACAAACCGACCAAACACCAAGCAGTCAACAATAACAACAACAACAACAAGGATTTATATAGCGCCCTCCACGCTGGACAGCGTCTCAGAGCGCTTTACAGTTTACAGTCAGCAAAAGCTAGAAAATATTTTTGCAAATGAAGCCATGTTTAATACAACAATGAGGTGCTCAAAGTATTTGCTTTCATTCAGCTGTCTCTTTGTTTGATTTGGCATATCAAGCAATAATAATAATCCTTGCATTTGATATAGCGCTTTTCATGTCAGGAGGACATCCCAAAGCGCTTCACAGAACACACTGTAAAGTGAATTGACTGTATATTTGTGGGCGAACGCGGCAGCCAATTGCTCACAGCAATGTCCCACAAACAGTCGTGGATTGAAAATGACCAATTTATTATTGTTTTTGGTTTTGGAGGGATTATTTCATAGCAATTCATAGCTAAGCAGTAAAAAATTATCTTGAGAAATTAAGAAAGTTAAAGAAGAAGGAAATTGGTTGCCAGCATGGTTCAGTTGGTAGCCCTCTTCCCACTGGGTCAGAAGGTTGTGGGTTCAAGCTTCACATCAATCATTTGAACTCACATAAGCTCACAATCCAATACAGTGCTGTGGATGCACAGCCTTGTTGGAGGTGCCATCCTTCGGACAAAACATTAATTTCAGGCCTTCCATCTCTATTGTAGAATCAATTTCTGGCATTTACTTCTGTATCAAGTCTGGTTATAATTTTATTACATGTTATAAGGTCCCATCTGACTGTTCAGGTGAACATTAAATATCCCAAGGCACTACTTGAGAATGGTGTTTCTCCTGGTATCCTAGCCAACAATCCCCTAGATACAATTTGTCATTTTACTTTACAGCTATTTGTGGGAATTTGCTGTGTATAAAATGCTAAAAAGTCACTGCACATTTGCAGCAAAATCCTATGAAGTATTTTGGGACATCCTCCTAATGTGAATTATACTGTCAATGCAAATATTATGATTATTAAATATTGCTGCAATATTTAGGCAGACTTTTCTCTAGGATTATTCAATGGTAGGGTAGAGTTGTGACAGTCGTGCTTGGATTATGGAAGAAACAGGCTTAATAGGCCAAATTCTTGTTCCATTTTTTTTTAGGTTATAATTCAACAGCATTTTTTCTCCTTAATACGAATATCTAAATTTGAACTGCATGTTTGACCTCATTGTCTATGTTGAAGCAGCTAACTACAACCAAATTAAGTTTTAAACAGTCTGTGCCATTGATATATAGTTATTATTTTACAAGCAATGCAATGCACATTTGAAGGGCATACTATTACAAGCAAGTATATAACATAAATCACTATCTTACCTGTTTGTTCATCAGTACATATATGATGGGGTTGTACACAGTGCTGGTCTTAGCCAAGACAACTGGCACAATACTGACTGTAGAGGTAATCAAGTCTGAATCACCAAAGGTTGCAAGCAGTGCCATAATTCCATAAGGCATCCAACAAAGTAAGAAGCAAACAATTGTGATTAGCACCATGAAGAAGACGTGGTATTTTCGCCGACAAGCTGCAGTCTTTTTGTTCTGACCAACCTGTTAAAATAAAGTTGGATCACATCTTAGCCTGGAATCTAGCTAGAGCATCCACACAGTAAAGTTAAAAAAAATTATAATTTCTGTGCCACCAGTCTCTGTTAATCCAAATCACCCTTTTTCATGAATCCCACTTTCCAACACTCTTCCCATACCCCTTAACGTTTTTACTGCTCAAGTGCTTATCCAAATCCCTTTTCTGAATGATACCTGGCTCAATAGGCACCTGTGATACAATACTTAATGATGTTTCAAACCTATCTCTATAAACTTGCAATAGAAGGTGAAGCCAATTTTGCACTAGCTTTCAAATTGAGATTGAATTTAATAATTTTCCATAAGTCTGTGCAATTGTAAATTTTAGGGTAGAAATTTAAGGTAGAATTTCAGGCCTCCCATCTACGACTGTTTGTGGGACATTGCTGTGCGCAATTGGCTGCCGCGTTCGCCCACAAATATACAGTCAATTCACTTTACAGTGTGTTCTGTGAAGCGCTTTGGGACGTCCTCCCGACGTGAAAAGCGCTATATCAAAATGCAAGGATTATTATTATTGTAGAATCGATTTTTGGCAAATACTTCTGTATCAATTCTGGTTATAATTTTATTAAGTTTCCCTGATGTCTCAGTTGACAAGCTTACTGGCGAATGGAAAACGGAAGTGTACAAATCATGAAATCTAGGTTAACTCTATAGTCTATTGTTGAATTAGCTGCTCTCAGGTGGGATGGTAGTTGGAGCGCTAAAATTCAGTTCAACAACCTCCAGAAGAGAAAAATCCACCAAAATTCCTTCTTGATTGCTGCCAGTGAGCCCTCCTTGAAATGACTCATGTGTGAATGTTGGTTGAGAATAGGATTAGGTTTATCTGTTAAATAACCCACCATTACTCACTGTCTGGACCAAGTTGACCTAGGTAACTGAGAACATCTGCTGTCTTTGGAATTGTAGCTGCAGTCATCACCTCCAGGAGTTGATGGGAATATATTGGAGGTACCTTCCAAGCTTGTAGTTGGTGTTGTTGTTGTTGTTGTGACATAATGAACACTATTGATCTCCTCAAAACATTTCATCTCTGCACTGGAGAGAATGACCTTTCATAGCATATCTCATGTACTTACATATTTCTCTTCAGAGTATTTCACAGCCATTATCAATAAATTGTAAAGATAATGGAATATTGGAGAGTATGATAATGAGTACCAAATCAATCATTACTAAAGAGATATAATAATAATCCTTGCATTTGATATAGCGCTTTATCACGTCTTCGAGACATCTCAAAGCACTTCACAGAATATACTGTAAAGTGAATTGACTGTATACTTTATGGGTGAAACCCGCCAGCTAATTGCACATTGCAGTATTCCACAAACAGTCGTGGATTGACGTGACCAATTTATGATTATATTTCTTTGAAGAAATTATTACCCCCGGAAAAGTGATCTGCCAATCGACTAACAACAGGGTTCATACTTACTGCTGGGTAAACAGAGGCGTGTGGAGCAAGGAAACTTGCCCAACATTTTGCCCTGCCGGGAATCGAACCCACATCTCTTGCTTGCAAGGCGAGTGCTCTAACTACTGAACTACAGGGTTTTTTTTAAAAAAAATCTCATTGCATGTGACTTATATTGAACGTCAAGAAGCAACATCATTATGGTAATCTAGAAAATTATGTTTATGCTTTATGCAACTTTCATGTTCTGGTATTACTAACCACTAGTTTATAACGTCTTAAAGTTAAAACTTTCAAGAGAAATGTGATGTGAATCAGGAAGCCTGATTTCTGCTTTTTGCTCTTCATTCCATTGATCAAAGATGGGAACGTGCAACCAAGTGTTGTACAGGATCCTTAAATTGAGATTGAATTTAGTAATTTTCCATAATTCTGTGCAATAGTTTTCACTGGTACAAAACTGAAACTCGCTCCAATAATTCTGACTTCTTGTTTATGGTTAAAATTTGCTGTAAAAAAAGGTTGCAACCACAAATCTCTGTAAGGACAGTTTTGAGGCCAGTGTTAGGGTTCCCAATCTTTTGCTGGACATTTAAAGTCGTATTTTCCATTTTACAGCTAATGTGAAGTGTTCCATTTATTACTGAAGTGAATCCCTCCATTGATGCCTCCCAAAGAACCTATTAAACTAAGCAAGTCATACAGTAGAAGGCAAAGAATTATAGTGAGAAATATTCTTCACCAACCTGTTTTATGGTGTATAAAATCCGTGCATAGGAGCAGACTATGAAAAGGATAGGAAGGGCCAGGCAGAAGATGAAGAGACAAATGATGTAGGACATTCCATTCATGGTATGGGTTTTCCAATTAACTGAGCAACTGATTCCTTGCCCCTCAGGACCATAAGCACTCCAGCCAAAGAGAGGTGGGACTGTCCATAGAAGTGAATACAGCCAGGAGACACCAATTGCCAATATTGGTCTTTTGAAATTATGGGTGGTGCGAATGCGAGTTATCATGTAGCTCCGGTCATAAGAAACAAAGCAAAGAGACAAGAGAGACACAATACCTGAAATGGGAAGAATGTCTATTGTCACCAACAAAAACGATAAGAGAATTACATTTGTATCGCGCCTTTCACGTCGGGAGGATCTCCCAATGCGCTGGACAGTCAGTGTTTCGGACCCGAGCTGGGGGTTGGGATTGGGGGTGGGGGAAAGGGCATGGGGAGAAGCAGGGTGATCAAAAGCACAGTCGAAGAAGAGAGTCTTGAGATGGGTCTTGAAGGAGGCAAGGGAGGGGGCAAGGCAGAGGGACTGCGGGATGGAGTTCCAGAGGGTAGGGATAGAGTGGCAGAAGGCCCACCCACCAATGGTGTAGCAGGGGACGTGAAGCAGACCGGAGCCCATTGAGCGGAGGGAACAGGCAGGATGGTAGGGGTTTAGGAGGTCGCAGAGGTAGGGGGGAGCAAGGTCATGGAAGGCTTTGAAGGTGAGGACCAGGATGTTGAACTGTATCCTCTGAGTGATGGAAAGCCAGTGGAGTCAGGCAAGGATGGGAGTGATAGGGTCATGGAGCCTGGTGTGGGAGAGGACATGGGCTGCAAAGTTCTGGATGATCTGCAGCCTATGGAAGGAGGAGTTGGGAAGGCCGACAACAAGGAGTTTGCACCAAGTATATCAGCAACAATTTACATAGAAACACATACAAGAAACATCTCAAAGCACTTTACAGAATGAGATTCATTTGAAATGAAGTCATTGTGATTTACGTAAATTAATTTTCATGATATAAAATCAAGAGAAAGGGAAACGTTTGGGGATGGATAATAAAATTAATCAGATGGATGACTAAATGAAATGTTTTGTAACATAATCAGGTAATAAAGAGGAGGCAAGAGAAATGGTAGAAACCCTAAAAGCAAAGAATATAATACAGTACTAATCCTGACAGAGCCGACAACAAACTTCAACTAGTGGAGAAAATATATGGGACTGATCATCAGTAATTGTGATCCACTATGGAGTGATGCAATCCACCTCATGTTATACTTGGTAAAAGATAAACTACTTTTGTACCACATGCTTCTAGTGCAGGTTTTAAGGTCCTGCTACCTTTGCTCTTGTTTGCTTTCCAGTTAGCTGCTTCGTGGATGAGTGGCTAGCAGATCGCGGCTTCTGTCTCTAAGAAATTCATTGGTTACATCATGTAATTGTTCATTTCAAACCTAATGAAATCAAACATGAATTGGACAGGAATAAGCAGTGGCTGAGATGTAAGTGCATGGTTTGGGCAGTTTTCTTAGACTTCTTTTTGTTTGATCTAAGATGATTATATTTGTACAAATTAATTTGTAAAGAATATCTTGTAATTAATTGTACATTGTCATGTTGTACTTGGTGTTGTCATTTATTAAGTGCTGATTTGTATAGAATATGTGGAAAATTAAAATAATTAAAAATAACCTGAATGAGATTTCAATTTGACTGTGTAATGTGTTTAGATTACTGAAGTACTTTGAAGAGTAATTGTTTTACACCATACTGAGCTAGTTCCCTTTGCTCCGACTATTATTCCAATGGAGATTGGAGCAGATTCAACTGCATGGGAAGCTACAGACAAATAATGGTATGTGGATAAGATCACTCTCTCATACACAGTTCCTTTCAAGACTTTGTTTTCTTGCTGTCAAATTTTCCCTGCTGTCTGAGGAGAGGCAGTCCAAGTCAATGATCAGGAAATGCCATTGGTGGCAGGCTGTGGGTTCAGGCATGCTGAGATTTCAATTCAGTAAGAAAGAAGAAATGGCAGCCTGTGTCTGTGGGGATATTGTTTATATTGATGCTGTCAGTGCTGCTCGCTTCAGATGCCGTGAGTAAAATGCATCTAAAGGTACGTCACTGCATTTCCTGAGGGACCTGCAATGCTTCATTTTCCTTACACTTATAATAATAATCCTTGCATTTGATATAGCGCCTTATCACGTTTTCAAGATGTCTCAAAGCACTTCACAGAATCTATACTAATAAAGACAGTGTCTGTTTGTGTGTCCCTTTTTCCGCCAATGACGCAATAAGCCCTATGGAGTCCTGTAGCTTAGTGGTTAGAGCACTTGCCTCAAGCAATAGACCTGGGCGAAATGTTGGGCAAGTTTTCTTACTCCACACGCCTGATAATAATCTCTCAAGAAAAAAAAACAATAATAAATTGGTCATTTCAATACATGACTCTTTGTGGGACACTGCCTCGAGCAATTGTCTGCCGCATTTTGCCTACAAGTATACAGTCAATTCACTTTACAATATTTTCTGTGAAGTGCTTTGAGACGTCTAGAAGAATTGAAAAAGTGCTATATCAAATAATAATAATTATAATCCTTGCATTTGATATAGCACTTTTGAGGAGAGGATATAAGGATTATTATTTATTTATAATAACCAATTGACGTAGAGACATGATTTATACCTCATCAGAAAGGTCTTGCATGCAGGAGTGTCATGGGCATTTTTTTTTCAGGGAACTCCTATCGTTGATGAGGTACACTTAAAAATGCTTTAATTAAGCCCCAAAATATGAGGTATGCATAGTATTCTGCAACAAAGTAGGGACAGAGGAAAGCACATATCCTTTTAAAGAGTAGTCCAGTGAACTATACTAATATATTCTGCAACAAATGGCAGTGCTTTTCAGGCCACTGAAACTTTCTCGTACAAAGGATCCAGTGTGCAATATCAAGAAGGGTGCAGCCACATTGATCAAGGACTGTAAAACCACTGTGTGGCATGAATGCACCATGTCGCACAAGAGAACAGGACACTTCAGGACATCAGGGAAAACACCCAGACGATGGGAGGGATGACACTTATTTTGTCGGGAGAGTTCCACCAGAACCTACCTGTCATACAAATTGGTACTGTGCTGATGAAAAGAATGCCAGACTTAAGGCTTCCAGGCTATGGGTATGTGTAGAGAAGATGAGTTTCAGGACAAACATGCGAGTCCTCTTCATGGCAGTTCCGCAGCTGGGGCAAATGCCAACATCCTTCTGGAAATTGGGGATGGCAAAATTCCAGTGCATCCAACAGATGGTCAAATTCAGATCCCTGAAGGTTGTGGGACCATTGTACAAGATATAGCAGAGCTCAAAACCAAAGTTTTCCTGAACCTCAGCCATTACTACACAAATGATAAGTGGTTGTGTGAATGAGCAATCCTTGCTCCAAAAAATGACTCCCAACTGAGTATATAGATAAAGTCAAAATGTCTATGTGTCTGTCTGTGTGTCATTCTACATTCCATATTGGATCCTTTGGTTGCAAGCGAATCTGCAGCTAGTATACTATAAAGCAAATTGACTTTATATTTTGTGGGCAAAACATGGTGGTCAATTGTGCACAGCAGTATCCAACAAACAGTCGTGGATTGAGTGACCAAATTATTATTATATATTTTTTGAAGGGATTATTACCCACGGAAAAAGCAATCCGACAATCTACTAACAACCGGGTTCCTACTTACTGCTAGGTGAACAGAGGCGTGTGGATTAAGGAAACTTGCCCAACGTTTCGCCCTGCTGGGATTTGAACTCATGCCCTCTTGCTTGCAAGGTGAGTGCTCTAACCACTAAGCTATAGGACTACACAACATTCACATTGCAACAAACCCACAGTATTGCATTGGTGTGTCCGCCTAGCCTATGAATTCGAAGTCCCGGCGTCAATTTTGATCCCACAATTTGTGACTCAGTTGTAGGTGTGTGTGTGTGCCACTAAGCCACTGGGACCTCAACAGTGCACAGATCAGTATTATAACAGCAGAGGATAGAGTCCCAGAGCAATCGGAAATAAAATAATAATCTTTGCATTTGATTCAGTGCCTTATCACATTGTTGAGACATTTCAAAGCACTGTATGACATCAGACAGTGCACGTATTGTCTACACTACACCAGGCAATGCTTTGGTAATGCACAGCAATACCATAGTGATGGAGCAGCTATAAGATGAATGCAGCATTAGATTCTTGATAATCTGGTGCAGGCCAACCCTGTTATAACATACTTCCATATAGCAGGAGTTTGCTTATAGAATAATTGTACCACTGACTTGTTGACTTCCTGTGTGTAGTATCCATGCACAAGAAGTGCATTTGACCTCAATGCTGAGAAGTATCACTGTTTTACAACTCACAACTCCATTACAATTTTCTAAAATTAGGCAATATTGATCTACAACAGTATCACAACTCCATTACAATTTTCTAAAATTAGGCAATATTGATCTACAACAACAACAAATTATACTTATAGAGCGCCTTTCACGTCTGGAGGACATCCCAAAGCGCTGAACAGTCAGGTGTCAGGGCCCGAGCATGGGGGAGGGGTGGTGTAGGCATGAGGGAAGGTAGAGAAGTGGGAAGGAGACCAAAGGCACAGTCGAGGAGGAGGGTCTTGAGACCGGCCATGAAGGAGACAAGGGAGGAAGCGAGGCGAAGGGATCGTGGGATGGAGTTCCAGAGTGTGGGGGTAGAGAGTCTGAAACCCCAGCCACTGATGGTAGGGCGGGTCGGGCGGGAGACATGGAGCAGGCCGGAGCCCAATGAACGGAGGGAGCGGGCAGGTTGGTAGGGGGTCAGCAGGTTAGAGAGGTAGGAGGGGGCAAGGCCATGAATGGCCTTAAAGGTGAGGACGAGGATCTTGAACTCGATCCTCTGGGGGATGGGGAGCCAGTGGAGTCAGGCGAGGGTGGGAGTGATGGGGTCACGGAATCTGATACAAAACAATACAAATTTACACTAATATAGCACCTTTCATATCTGGAGACAGCCATGGCTTGGCTAATGGAGTAAAATTCCATCTAGGTTTAGATTTATTCTGTTAACATAGTGTTTCAGAGCATCCAGAATTTGGGAAATTGTTGAATTTCGTCTCATAACTTTCGTTCTTCAAAAAATTTACAGAAAATCTGCTAAAAATTAAAGCTGTATTCAAGAATTTACCAAATTTTGGATGCTCTGATTTGCTTTGATATTAGAGTAAATCTCGACAGTGGTGGAATTCCTCCCCTAAAGATGTATCCCCATATATCATTTTTACCATTGTGTCACAGGTTATGAAATGACTTAATTGTTGAACAAACAGGTTCAAACACATTTTAATGAACACAACAAACTAATTGTTGCCCCATAAATTCCTGCTAAGGTATTTCCTATTTTAAAAATATAAATTGGGCATTGAAATTGAATTATATTTCAGGTTATCATTATTGTCAGCAAAAGCAACAGAAAGGCAAAAGACTGAAAAATAATGGCTGCTGACTCAATAAACGATTTCAATACTAATTTGAGAGGCGTTCTCAATAATTTTACAATTCTGTTTTTGCAAAGCAGTTTTGAGTTTTGATCTGTGAAATTGTAATGCAGCAAACAAGAGATTAGCAAATTGCAAAGTATATGTTGCTTTATTTAAACAGACACATTTATTGTGTAATCTGTGAAGCTGTAATGCAGCAAACAAGAGATTAGCAAATTGCAAAGTATATGTTGCTTTATTTAAACAGACACATTTATTGAACAGAGGAAAAGAAAAATTGCACTTGTTCAACACCTAGTCATAGGGAAACAATTTAAAGCATGTCACAGATACTTTCTGTCGAGTATAGCTATTGTTTTATAGACAAACAGAGCACCCATTTGCAAAACCAAGATTCCACAAACAACCATGAAGTAAATGACTGATTAATCGATGGAATTGTTGTCCAGGATATTTTGCATGAGACTTGCTTGGAAAAGTCTCATTTTTATTTTTAGCATCAACAAGAAAACAAACAGATGTGATTTTGATTCAATGAGGCATCAAAAAGTTGGCACCAAATAATCTGGAAGACTGTTTGCCAAAACTCTGGGAGAAACATAGGAAAATAGATCTTCCTCTCTTTCAATACAGTGTACAATATTCTAAGGTTTCTCTATAGATACAATACAATACACAATATAATTGAGTGATAATAACATATAATGCAATGAATGATACAGAGGCAAATGCTTACATAATAAACATCACTGATGTGTGAACTATTCTTATTATATTATTATTAATTCACTTTAAAAAAAACTAGCTTAAACTTCTTTTTTAAAAATACTATTTTGTATGCTTTTCTCTCTCTCTTGGAACATACTCTCGCTCCACTTTGTCTCCACAAACAGCTTCTCCTACAGCCCCCACACCGTCTCGTGTGGTGTTTCTCAGGGCTCTGTCCTCGATCCCCTCCTCTTCAACCTGTATATGCTCCCTCTTGGTGACATCATCCGCACTGTGGTCGACTTCCACAATGTGGATGACACCCAACTCTATCTCTCTGCTTCCACCCTCGACTCCAGCACCGAGGGTACTCCAGCTAGCTAACTTTCTACAGTTGAATGTCAGCAAGACTGAGGCTCTCCTGATTGGTGCCTCCGCACATCAGGCACTAGCAGCATTAGCATCCATGGATGCAAACTCCACCTCACCAAGCCAGTCAGGAATCTAGGCATCTTGTTCGATCCTCAACCGTACTTTTTCCTCCACATCCATGCCATGAACCGCTCTGCCTTCCCCCACCTCCGCAACATTGCCTGACTCCGCCACTATCTTTCTCCTCAGGCCGCCGAAACCCTCATACATGCCCTCATTACATCTAGGCTCAACTATGCCAACTCCCTGCTTGTTGGCCTCCCCAACTCTTCCTTCCACAAGCTGCAGATCATCCAGAACTCTGTAGCTCATGTCTTCTCCGGCACCAGGCTTCATGACCCTAATACCCCCACCCTCGCTCAGCTCCACTGGCCCCCCATCCCCCAGAGGATAGAGTTCAAAATCCTCGTCCTCACCTTCAAGGTCCTTCATGGCCTTACCCCCTCCTATAATAATATATAATAATAATCCTTGCATATGATATAGCGCTTTTCACGTCTTCTAGACGTCCCAAAGCGCTTCACAGAATATACTGTAAAGTAAATTGACTGTATATTTGTGGGCGAACGCAGCAGCCAATTGTGCACAGCAGTGTCCCACAAACAGTCGTAGATTGAAAGTGACCAATTTATTATTGGTTTTTTTTGGAGGGATTATTATTAGGCGTGTGGAGTAAGGAAACTTGCCCAAGGTTTCGCCCTGCCTGGAATTGAACCCAGGTATCTCGCTCGCAAAGCAAGTGCTCTAACCACTGAGCTACAGGACTCCTACCTGTCTGACTTGCTAACCCCTTATCAACCTGTCCGCTCCCTCCGCTCAGCAGACTTCATGTGCCCCGCCTGCCCTCTCCACCATCAGCGGTCATATCTTCAGCCTCTCTGCCTCCCACCCTCTGGAACTCCATCCCACATTCCCTTCACCTCGTTTCCTCCCTTGCTTCCGTCAAGACTCAAGATGCTTCTCTTCGACCGTGCCTTCAACCAACCTCTTACCCTCTCTGCCTTCCACCCTCCCTGATCGCAATCCCATTCCTTAGGTCCTAATCCCTAACCCCTGACTGTTCAGCATCTTGGGACATCCTCCTGATGTGAAAGGCGCTTTACAAATGTAATTTTATATTGTCTAGTATCCAGTCATGTGTTGTAACTACTGTATTTGTAATTAGTGAAAATGTTATAAATCTCCATGTTTTCATCCTCAATGAAATGTGTGCACACAAAGACACACCTAATAGATACAAAAGAAAGGCATTATAAGGAGTTTGGGAGGGAAACACCCCTTTTAGCTCCTGCACATTATTGTGTTCCTCCAAAGAGAATGATCAAGGAGATGGAGAGGTTCGTCTCACCTCTAGCATTTAAGAACAACTAATTTCTCCCGATTACTAAACTGCGTTAGACAGACAGCAAGAACTATTCCAAATAAGAAACCTAATCAGCATCAAGCTCAAGAGACTTTACAGTGGATTTATTCACCAACCAAAGATCATCCAAACAGTCATCCTCTCACCAAGAAATGAAGGACACAAGAATCTTAACAGATAACTAACCTGTGATCCTCTTGATCTAAAAAAAATGTTCATTTGGGTTCTTTCTGCTGGAGTTAGTAACTGCAGAGCAGATGTTTAACAGGAATGCAAGTGTGAAAAGAAGGATGGATTTGTTTTTTTTAAAAATACGGTGAGCAAATAAAAAGGCTGTTTTTTTTTTACCTGAGATCGCAGTGCTGTGTGGATGACTTACCAAACAGGGAGTTTGCAAACCCGTACCACTTGCAGCCTTGCTCGCCAACCAGCCATCGCCCCTGCACGCTGGCAGCGAAGCTGAAGGGAGTCCCGCAGATGCACACGAGCATGTCACTGACACTGATGTTCAGCAGCAGCATGTTCATCGGGCTCCTGAGCACCTTGTACTTACAGAACAGCACCAACACCAGCAGGTTGTTGAGAAACCCCAAGACCATGATGATACCCAGGCACACAGCTACCACCGTCAGCCCAGTCCGGCTCAACCCAGTCCAGCCCACCTGGCTCAGGGGGAGACTGGGGCTGGAGTTGGGGCTGGAATTTAACATCCAGTTTACAGTCATCATCTCTGACTGGTGGAGTCTTGGTCAGTGGCCTCTGACAGTCAGATCGCTCCTCACACATTAGCAATGCTAATGCAGTGTCAGGCTTGCTCTAACTTCTTGACGATACTGTTCTCTTGGACCAATTGTCTGGGTGATGGAGATGGAGAGGATTAACTAGTGCCTGCCCTGCCGCAAGCTGCTTTTGTACTCGGTCGAAAGGGAAACAGAATGGATTATCATAATGATCCAAGGAGGGTGACTGGCATAAATTGCTTTCACGGCTTGACTACCAAAACCGAAGCTGTGTGTAAAAGTTCAATGATAAATTGAGCAGCTGTATTTTTTCATGGGAGCAGCACATGTCCAGTTGCACCTTTCTGAAAGAACTATACGACACAGAATTTAATAATCCTTGCATATTATTATTGATAGCGCCTATTCAAGTCTATGAGACTTCTCAAAGTGCTTCACAGAATATACTGTAAAGTGAATTGACTGTGTGTTTTGCACAGAATTTAACCAAATGGGCAGCCATGCCCATTGCGAATAAAATAAAATGAAGGTTTTAACTCTTTGGGATTCGATTTGAAAATACCTGATTCCAATTTTCCCATCTCCAGCTATTTAATTTCAGTCATGAATCAGACGAAATCCTAAAATATTTCATGGGGAAAATAGAAAACATTTGCATGAATTGCTGTGAATTGCGAGAAGCTCATGTAGTATTATCTATCCTGGTTTCAAACACATGAACTAAATCTACTCTTGAATTTAGAATCTTGTTTTGATTGCTAACAGCAATATTTACCAAACCAGGAACAAATGATATGTGACTATTAATGAGACTTATGTTGATTAGTCGATTGGTGGATCGCTTTTCTGGGGGGAATGATCCCATAAAAAATAATAATAATTTGGTCAATCAATCTACGACTGTTTGCGAGACACTGCTGTATGCAATTGGCTGCTGCTTTTCAGCCACAAAATATACAGTCAATTCATTTTACAATATATTCTATGAAGCACTTTGAGACATCTCAAAGATATGATTATTCTATGAAGCACTTTGAGACATCTCAAAGATATGATTATTATACTGCCTGATCTTCCTCATAATGTCCTCAGTAAGATTATTTTTAATAATAATTAACAATTATTATTAATTCATAATTATCATAATTTGGTGTTTTGAGCTATTAGACAATAATCTTGAAAAGAAAAGGTTGTTTCTTCTTTAATTACATTTGATATAGTGCCTTTCGCATCAGAAAGACATGTCAAATGCTTTACAGGATGTACTGTAATGTGTATTAACTATGCATTTTGCAGGCAAAATTGGCAGCCAACCTGTACACCACAAAGTCCAACAAACAGTCGTGAAGTTAACAATCAATTTTATCTGGGGGGATTATGGGCCAGGAAACAGGAAGAATCTACCTTCTCTTTTCAAGATTATTTGGCTGGAGCTCAAATCCCAAATTATGACAACTTAAGAAAGCATGACAAGAACAAGGATAATTCACCACCTCCTTCTTTTCATAAATGGTGTGCGATAAACACTAGTAGAATGGATTCTGTCAAAATTTTAAGGGGACATTCTCACATGTTTTAAAATCCTCAATAATATCTAACTTTATCTATTGTTGCACCATTCGTTTTATCTATTGTTGCACCATTCACTATTTTTTTCTTCATTGTTTTTCTTTCAAGTTCCTATGTTTTACACTTAAGATATTATCAATTCCCTTTCTTCTCCTATAATAATCCTTGAATTTCAAATAGCTCCTTATCATGTCATTGAGACGTCTCAACGCGGTTCACAGAATATATTGTAAAGTGAATTGACTGTGTATTTTGTGGGTAAAGCACACGATCTCAAACATGGCATAAAGTCTATGAATGTTGACACAACAACCATACTTTTTATACCTGTTGACACTGCACATCTTCTGTTTTAAAGTAAATTCTGGAGGGAGGAGTTGCAATGTTTCATCCTAGGATATGGGAAGAAACTCCCTTGTCTTTTCACCCTAACCCAAGGGACATTGATGGCAGTGAAAGCATAAGAGAACATGGGTTTACTCAAATCTGAATGACACTTAAAAGAAAGAGGGCAATTACATCTGACCTAAGGGACTCATTACATGTCACAATCCAAGTTGTTTATTTATAAACTAATATTATAGAAATAACATTGTAAGGGTTAATTAATTTTGTGAAGTAAGGACCAACACAAATTCTTCAATCAATTGATATTTATTAATAAAAATTGGTAAAGAAATGCATATCAAAGTTATACGTTTCATCAAATCAAATTAATGCTTACAACAGGTTGCTAATGTTCACTGCAATTAATTGATCAGACCAAATACAGTGGCTTTGATGTCAGAATCTGCTTGTTGACGTGTATCGATCCATGTTGATTGCTGTATATCCCTTTTTCCTTGAGATTGGTTGTGATTAGCTGATCCATTCTCTTTTCTCCGATATAATGCCAAAAATCTTTGATTCTTTTGTACCTTTTTCGTCATATATGCCAGTCTGTTCAATGTGTTGTTAGAAATACCAGCTGCAAACCAAGGACAAACTTTATCAAAGTAAACAGCTTGTTTCAAAACAAGTCTTTGTCCCATGATGATTTGGAAGAAACCGTTCCATAAGCACGCCTCCACCGTCCTTGGCTTTCAAGCATTTGGGTATATAATCAGCTTTTATGAAGTAAACTAATCCATGATTCTCCGCGATTTTTCTTTAGGTAACCGGGTGAGAGCGCGGGGAGAAGCCGTTTGTGCAGATGTACTGCTGGCAGTTTGTGAGGTAGGACTCGAACCAGGCGAGTGCAGTCCCACTGAGGTGATGACGGAGGAAAGGCGGCGGAGGAGGATGGCGTGATCGACTGTGTTGAACGCGGCGGAGAGTTCCAGGAGGACAAGGAGGCAGAGGGAGCCCTGGTCACAGATAGAGAGGATATCGTTTGTGACTTTCCATCATCTTTACCTTCCCCAATCTCACTTGCCTCTCACCAGCTTGGTTGCCCATTAAGCGATTTGGAATGTCCTACTGATGCTAAAGATGCTATATCAATGTAAATTTGTGTTGTGTTTCTATTTTATTGTATAAGAACTGTGCATTGTGGTGAAAAACATCTTTGATGTACAGTATATGGTTAAAAAAAGTCCTATCAAAACAGTTTTATCCTGCAAATCCATCATGGGCAAATCGTGCTGCTTTTCTTTCAAGTTAAACCATCTTTGCATGAAGATGTAACACAGTTTTCTTCTGTATTGTCAGAGAAAATAACTATGCCAACCATATTCTGAAGTGTAACACGTGGGGATTTGAACAATTTACACGCTTTTCATTTCTAAGAGAGATTACTGAAAGAAACAGATTATCACTTTATCATATTTTTTCACATGGACCATCCATTGAGCAGGTGAGCAATTTACGCTTTCAGTGGATAGTTATCATCCTGGCTCAGTTGGTAGAAGTCTTGCCTCTGAGACAGAAGGTTGTGGGTTGTGGATTCAAGCAGCACATCAGGAGTTTGTGCTCACAGTCTGGGCTGAAACGTCAATGTAGTGGAGGAGTGCCTCATTATAGGAGGTGCCACCTTTTAGATGAGATGTTAAACCGAGCTCCTGTCTGCCTTTTCGGGTAGATGTTAAAGATCCCATAGTACTATCAAGAAGGAGAAGAGAGTTTCTCCTGGCATCCTGGCCAACAATCCTCAAAATAAAATTGGTCACTTTAATTGTGAGACATTGCTGTGGACTAATTGACTGCCACATTCACTACAAAATACACTGTCAGTGCATTTTACAGTATATCCTGTAAAGCATTTTGAGATTTGGAGGAAAATAGGATCTTCATATATATTGGATATTACTTTGAGTGCAAGTATACGTATTTTTGTTATACATTTAATTAGGTTTTTAATAAAGTGCTGGTAATGTGATAACTGGGTCAGTGAGTTGTTCCAAAAAATACTGTAGCAGCACAGATCCAGGTTTCAGCATTAAATCCCAGCATTAAATGGTCAAGAGCAAATGATTATTTCCAAATGCTTGAAACTGAATCCTCACAATAGCCCAGGTTACTTGGAATATTTTATGCTGTTAATGAAAAGTGGAATTAAAAGTGGAAACCTGCAATAGTGGTTGCAGATGTAAAGGATCAATTGCCGTGTCAATTGTGCACAATTGTGATGCTGTGAGAAATGTTTAACAGCATGTAACAAAGTTGTTTTAGGGAATATAAGTACCGTGTTGCACAATGCATGTTAGCAGGACATAATAGGATTCATAGCCTTTCACTGTGCAATTGTGGACAAATACAATAAATTGTACCATTTTAAAGGGGGTACAGCAACAGAGAGACCTGGGGATTCACATACACAGGTCTTTGAATGTGACAGGACAGGTTGATAGAGCTGTTAAAAAAGCATATGGGATACTTTATAAATAGAGGCATAGAGTACAAAAGCAATGAAGTCACTGGTTATGCCTCAGCTGGAGTATTGTGTCCAATTCTGGGCAGCACACTTTAGAAAGGATAACAAAGCTTTGGAGAAGGTGCAGAGGAGATTTATAAGAATGGTACCAGGAATGAGGAACTTTAGTTATGTGGCGAGATGAGAGAAGCTGGGATTGTTCTCCTTAGAGCAGAGAAGGTTAAGGGAAAATTTAATAGAGGTGTTGAAAATTATGAGCGAGTTTGATAGAGTAGATAGGGAGAAAGTGTTCCACTAGCAGGTGAGGTCAGTAACCAGGGCACATAGATTCAAGATAATTCGCGAAAGAACCTGAGGGGAGATGAGGAGAATTTTTTTTACACAGAGTGGTACGGTCTGGAATGCAATGCCTGAAAGGATGGAAACAAAATCAAAAACAACTTTCAAAAGGGAATAAGGATAAATGCGGAAAGAGTGGGGGAGTAGGACTGAATGGGTAGCTCTTCCAAAGAGCCGGCACAATGGGCCGATGGGCCGAATTGCCTCCTTCTGTGCTGTAATATTCTAT